ATCAGCACAAGTAAAAAATCGATTTAAAACTGGACTGTAACATCTATACCCTTTTTGCGCTCGTGCGTATCCTAAGAAAATACACTTAATAGTACGAGAATCTAATTTATCCACCCCGGGAGCAAGCTGATGAACAAAGCACACACATCCAAAAATACGAGGAGGCAATTTAAACACAGGGTCATGAGGAAAAAGAATGGAGTGAAGTAATTGACCTCCAAGAATAGTAGATGGCATGCGATTAATTAAATAACATGCAGTTAGAACTGCATCACTCCAAAATTGTTTGGGCACATTCATGTGCAACATAAGTGTCCGAGCAACCTCGATTAAGTGTCCAATCTTTCTTTCAGCAACTCCATTCTGTTGTGGAGTGTGAGGACAAGAGGATTGATGAATAATACCGGACTTAGTCATGAAGGTATTAAAAGGAGTGGAAAAATATTCTTTCGCATTATCACTGCGAAGTATACGTACAGATACACCAAATTGATTCTTTATTTCTGTAACAAATGCACAAAAAATGGAATATAGTTCTGAACGATCTTTCATTAAATAAAGCCATGTAACTCTTGAAAAATCATCAACAAAGATTACAAAATATTTAAAACCTAACTTTGAAGTGACTCGACTAGGACCCCAAACATCAGAATGAACTAACAAAAAGGGTTCCGAAACCCGTTTATTGACCCTAGGGGCAAAAGAAACACGATGATGCTTTCCTAATTGACAAGACTCACATTCTAATGAAGACAACTGACTCAATGTAGGAACCAACTTCTTCAAATTTTGTAGAGACGGATGACCCAAACGACAGTGAATTTCAAGAGGAGAAACAGTAGCAGGTCACGCAATCGGACCATTAGAGTTGAGAAAATAAAGACCATTATGCTCGCGCCCTCCACCAATCGTTCTCTTTGTCTTCAAATCCTGAATAACAACAAAATCAGGAGAAAAAATAACTGAACACTGTAGAAATTTGGTAAGCTTACTAACTGACATTAGATTAAAAGGCAAATTTGGTACGTAAAGAACAGAAGGCAGCGGAAGAGATGGGTTAATTTCTACAGTGCCTAGTCCTTTAACTTTAGTTATAGATCCATCAGCTAAAGTAACATGAGGGAAGGAAGTAGACTCTTGAAAATTAGAAAAATTTCTAGAGGTACCTGACATATGATCAGTAGCTCCGAAATCAATGATCCATGAGTCAAAATTTTTGGAAGTGGAGAGACAAGCCATAGCATTACCTTTTTGTGCTAAAGAAGCAGAGGGAAGAGATGTGTGATTAGCAGTTTGGTATTGCAGAAATTTGACATAATCTTCCTCGGATATGGTAAAAGTTTTCTGGGACCCTTGTGCTGAAGAACTTGATTCAGCTTGGTTAATGGTAACCGCATTAGCAAACCGAGGTGATTTTCCATGTAAATCCCAACAAGTATCATGAGTGTGATTCTTCAAACCACAATGAGTGCACTCACGGGTGCCTCGACCTCCACGACCTCATCTACTTCTTCCTCCACGAGAGCCACGTCCCAAGTTAAGTTGCTCTATCCGACCATTGTTAGCAACTAACGCAGATTTGTCATTAATTAGAGCACCATCACCCTGTGCTTTGTCCTTAGATACAGAACGTAAGACCCGAGCATATGCCTCTGCAAAGGATGGTAATTGTTCACCTGCTAAAATTTGAGATTTGATTGGTTCAAATTCTGGTTTGAGACCGGCCAAGAATTTGAGCACAAGCATTTGTTCTCTTTGCCTCTGCATAACTGTAATATCACTTGAGAGAGGCATTACGGCATTTAATTCTTCTGAACTCGCTTCAGATCAGCAAAGTATTCAGTTACTGTCTTGTTATCTTGTTGCAACTGAAAATACTCCAAAGAAATATCATACATCCGTGAAAGATTACTACAGTATAATAACCGGACATAATCCCAAACTTCTTTTGTTGTCTCACAATGAGAACACATGTAAGCAATTCGTGGCTCCATAGAATTCCATATTGCTCCAAGAATTTGGGCATCCTCTTAAATCCACATTAGTTTCTTGCTATCCTCCGTAGGAGAGTCATCTGTGAGATAACGTTGCTTTCCTAAGCCTGTCAGATAAATCTTAACAGCTTTTGACCACTGTTGATAATTGGTATCATTCAACTTTCAATTTGTGATTTGAGGCATCACCATTGGCATAATATTAGTGGACGTCACAATACCTTTTGATAAACTTTCAGCCATAGCGAATAGCACTTCAAACCCAAAAAAGGGTCAAAACTCGAGACGAACTGTACGCGTGAACAGTGCGCCGTGAACAGTACCGGCGTGAACAGTGTGCGCGTGAACAGTGCCGCGATGAACAGTGCAGCGTGAACAGTACTTTTGCTAGATGTTTAACCTAAACCCTAGGACTCTTGCTCTGATACCATGTCAACAGGTATCTTGGGAGGAAAACATCTAGTCACTATATTATGAGTGACCAACTAGTATTTATAGGAGTACAACCCTAACAAACTATTTACAAAAATACCCTTACTAATTTATTATCTACAAGAATACTTATATTCTCTTAACAAAGGACAATCTATATCACAACCAAAAAGGCCGAGCAGATTCAAGTATGGAAACTGTGGATCTTTTGGTCACAAGAAGAGGTCATGCCAAAGAACATCTGTCCAGAAGAAGAATGGCAACGTAACTCATGGCCAACAGGTCTTATATGTGCTCAACTTGCTACTGAAAATAATACTGAAAACAAATAAAATACAATAATGTTAGCTTATTCTATAACAGTTGAGCTATAGAAGAGGCAAACCAGGAAGAGGGACTGCAAACACAGGCCTGTCAGGAGCTACTCTTTGGGTAAAAATTTTGTTGATTTATTATCAGGATTGTAACATTTAAAACCTTCTAATATCTAATACTACTTGTCTATGTTTACTGTTAGGATCATGTCTCTGACAATGTGCCTGTTCTACACTCAAGTCAAGGAGGCAATCCTTCTCCTCCAAGTCAACCTGAAATTGTGAATGTACAACAACAGATTTAGACCATAGCAACTGCTTCAAAAAAAAGGTTCATTCGAATGACTGCATTTTATACATGTTTCAGTATAATGTTTGAGTATAAGGTTCAATCTCTATGATTGTGCAAAGAGGAAGGGCATTGTACAATACTGGAGCAACTGCTAAAGGGAGTAGCAAGAGGATTTTCTCAAATACAGCTACCCAGGTCACTCAAACTCTTGAACCTCCTCCAGTTCAACAAATTGTAGCATCTTAAGTTGCTACAATTGCATCTTTCTCAATCAATGCAGCTATAGCATTGTAGTCAACAAATGTCAACAGCAACAGCAGTTTTAGTATGCAATTCTGATGCATACTCTGTAGTTTTTTGCTTACTGCTTACTGCTTGAGTTTCAACTTAGTAGTGTGCTATTAATTAGGTCAATAGATACGAATGTTTTGCATATGACTGTTGCAGATATATATTTGAGTTGATAGGTCTTTGCAATCCTCACCAACTGTTCTAAGTCATTGCAGCAGATGGTATTTTGAAACTAGTGGATTGTTCAGTCATGCTTTTGTATTAATGGATTGTTCTGATACTCTTTTGTAGTAATGGATTTTTCTAATGCACTTTTGTATTAATGGATTAGTCTTGTAATGCAACTGCTTTTCATATCTGTTTTTGCAAGTATTGTTAGATGAAGTAGATTTTACATTGATGACAGTAGATTTAAACTTAATTGGTTGCATTATAATGTAAACTGAAAATGGTGCTGCATACATGATGTTCCACTTTTCCTCTCCTTGTCTTGCAACACCAATTTGAATTGTAGCTACATCTTATATTTAGATGTGTATATTTGAACCTGCACATCATCCTATTGACTTCACAATATTGATGAAAACATACACAGTAACAATTATGAGATTGATGATGAAAAGTATGTTGACTGCTACATTTACAGCCACTGCACTTGCCACTACAATTGACATTTTCCTTTGCATTACCGTAGACCTTTGCAGCTGTTGTTGAGATTACAGAACTGAATTGGTGTTAGTTCTTCTACTGCTGGCCTCTTCTTCTTCAGGACCCTCATACCACTGGAAGTACTTGCATTTTGCACAACAAAAGTATAACTTGTTGAGGTTCTTTTCCGTCTCAGAGATCTTCAATATTGCCTTTCGATTGTAGGTGCAATATTTGTTCCTTATTGTGAAGGATGTTGGGGAGTTCCATGATGCTCTCTTGTGACTGGAAGACTGCAAATTGTTTGCTACAATATTTCACCTCAAGTTGCCAAATTGAAGTCAATCAAACCAGCTGTGTTTTGAGTTGGAAACAAACAACTTATTTTTTTGCTAATATAAAGTTTCATGTATCAAGACCATTCTTTAAAAGTTAGTGCACCAAACTGCACATTTAGCTGTTAACTAGCCGTTGATTTCCCTCAATGAAGAAGCTGTTGCAGGTTGCTTGGAAATGGTTTGCATTTACATCCCCTTAACTTTCTTGATCCTTTATACCTTTGTCTTTCCCTCGCTAATACTACTTGTCAAGCAGCAAATTTGGCACAAATTTCTTTCTCACTCCTTAAAATAATTTTTTAATGGGACATTTTCCTGCTTGGACTGAATCTGCAACATATTCATTAAGTTCAAGGGTGCTGCATGCTATTTCTTAAACTAGAGGAGAGGTAAATGCTAGTGTTAGAAATCTCAGGGGAGGTTTCTGCAGTTTTCCCATATATATATATATATATATTCAGTTTCGAACCGTTTTACCAAACATTATATCTCGGTCTCTTCTTTTTTTTTTGTCGATACGATAAAAGTTCTATAACCTAAGCCTATTCTAGGGGGGAGGGGGGAGGGAACTCGATGTGAGTAGAAACTCCATCGAAGTTGGTCAATGAAGACCGTCACATAATGTGATAAATTTTATGGGAGGTAAAGTTCGAATCCTTGATCTCCCGCATCACCAAGCCTAAGAAGGCTTGGGATGACCACTGGGCATCTCGGTCTCTTCGAATTCTATTTTATCGGAATCCGAAATCCGATTTGGATTGGGTCGATCAATTTTCCGGTTTTTTCCGAAATATGCACAGGCTGCTCCACCCAGAACCGCCTGTTGTCATCCCATACTCGCCAGTCGCCACCCTTCCACCGCCCCTCTCCTCTCTTCTCTTCTCCTCCAATTAATGTTAAGAGCGTGGGTTTAGCTTAGAAGCGTGGTCAGGTAACCAACTTACTGGCTTCTTCTTCTTCATCGGACGGACCAGATTAATATCATATCACAAAGAAGAATTAGACTAGAAGAATAATAAGGATTGGATTGGAGCGGAGAAGATGGGGTGGTGGATGTTGCCGGACGAGCTGTGGAGAAGAATACTCGAGCTTGGAACCACCTCAGCCTCGGCCTCAGCCTCAAATCCTCCTCCTTGTCGCCTCACCTACAGAGACCTTTGCTGCCTCTCCATCACTTGCAGACGCCTCCACAGACTATCCTCTGAAGATTCTCTCTGGTCGTCTCTGCTCCTCTCCGATTTCCCTCCTCCTCCTTCCAATGCTTCATTTAATTCTACCTCCGCCTCGTCTTCTTCTTCTTCTTCTTCTTCGTTGAAAGCCCTCTACAAAATCAGGTACTAGTGCTGGTTTAACTCTGAATTTTCTCCATCCTTTTTTTTTTCGTTCTCGTCCCTGTTTTTTTTTTTTTTTTTTTTCTGAATTCAGCTACTTAATTGTTCCACTCTTTTTGAGGTTAAAAAAAGAAAAAAGCGGGTTTTTTTTGGGCTCCTTTAATAGTTGCATGCTGCATTGCTAGTGTTTAAAGATTTGTTTTTTTGCTATAAATTTAATGCTTCTGTTGACAAGTAGTTGGAGTAAATGTCCCTGCTATCGTCGATTTCTCTTGGAAGAACTTAGTGGCTGCATTACTTTTTACGTTGATAGCAACAATTTTCAGAGCCCCTTTTTGGTTTAACTGTTTCCTGCTTGGGATTCAATTGAAGGATACTTAAAGTTGTTGGTATTTGATTGTGGGTAATGGAAACAGGTATGAGAGGGACCGAGAGCAGAAGCGCCTGGCTCATAGAAGAATTATTCTCAGAATTGAAAGCGAAGTAGCTGAGTCCTCCAGAAAGATTCGTGAAATGGAGCTTCACTTAGCTCAGGAAAGGGAAAAAATGAGGATAACAGTTGCTGAATTACTCAACTTGCGCAGAGTCAGGTAATAAGTTGTAACCAACATACAAATGAATAGCCTGGATTCTTTTCTGTGGGTAATAATCTATTGGAGCTTTTCTGCACCATATGCCACGTTGACTTCATCAGCAGTTTAACTGCTGATATTGCTAATTATTATTTTGGTGTTAGTAAAGTAAAAAACAATGTTTTGTGCTCACGTTCAGCAGAATTTTGCACTAAATGTTTGTCTAGTTTTGGTGATTGGAATTGATTTAATCTAAAATTCCACTTTGCAAAGTCTATTATTTTATTTTGTTCTTCTTTGAAATTGGAACATTATGGGCTCATGCACTAGCAATTGGAATGTTTGCATACCATCAGGCAAGCATCGGCTGCGTTGAAAGTGTGGCAACCAGAGGTAGTTCGAGGTACACAAAAGCAGATGGTTGAGCAATGTAATGTACCTGTCGAGTCTCGGATTAGTGCACTTGAGATGGAGCTCAGGCTTTGCAAGCAACAAATTGCAAATTATGATAAGGCTCTTGTAAGTGTAGACTCTAGTGAATTATTTGGTGGATTATGGGATAATTGTATGAAGAACTTAATGCACTTATCTATGTATTATTGCAGAAAGTTGAAAATCGGAAGGTTGACATAGCAAAAGAACAGTTGGAATCAGTAAAATATCACCCTCTGCATGACTTTAGCAGGAAAGGCAACAGGAATGACAAACATGGCATAAGAAGAAAAAGGTCGAAACATGCATGAAAATAATGTTCCCATTTTAAGGTCTAAACAGAGAATTCCACAAATCAACTTAGAAGATAAAACTCTAAGCTAATAAAAATGGTGGAGATAGGAAACTTTTGTAGTACAGGTGGTGGCTTTCCAGGTACTTAGGAATATCAATACCACCCGGAAAGTTGCTGGAATATCAATATTCCAGTAAGAAGTCCACATCTTTCTAGCTGCAGAAACTAGGAAGTACCGAGACAAATGGAGTATCATGCGTCTTTGCAGGTAGTTGGAATGATGCTAAGGAACAAGAACTAAAAGTGCCAATTTTGGAAAGATGGATTAATTCGTGATAATCTGAAAAATGTGTTTTGAGCTAAGGAATACCACTCAGTGGCACATTAACATGCTTTATTCGAGTAAAATGTTGTCTTCATCAAGACTTATGCGGTTCCAACTGGTAACGGTCCAGAGGAAAAGCAAGTTTTAAGGGCTTTGTCTTAAAGTCCCCAATAATCCAACACTATGGAAGCTGACCTTTTCAGAGCCACATTCAATTCCGCCTCTTCTTTATAGTTGAAAGCTTCGTCACTTGTGGCGAACATGACATCAAGGTGATGTCCAATTTGTCTCCATACTTTCTACGGCTAGAAGAATGTAGACTTGAATCTTGATTTTGCAGGTATTTTCCAGATGGTATTGAAATTTACTTCGATAATATAGGAGGAAAGATGCTTGATGCCATGCTTCTTAACATGACCCTCCATAGCTGCATTGCTGCTCGTGGCATGATTACACAATATAATCTTGAGCAGCCAGAAGGAGTTCGCAATCTAATTTGCTTGATCTCCAAGCGAATGTGAATGGATGGATTTCTAGTGTTTGATTATTATCATCTCTATCCTCAGTTCCTGGAAATGATTATCCCACAGATACAAGAAGAGAAAATCACTTATGTGGAAGACATAGCTGAAGGCCTTGAGAATGCCCCACGTGCTTTGCTAGGGCTATTCTCAGGGCGCAACCTGTGGATAGTGTACATCATCTAGAATTGTCCTTTTCACAGTTTGTGCTTTGGTTTTGTCTAGTATACTTGGTATCTCGTGCAATGCTGGGAAGCAAATAGTAGCTGTTGCAAACGTTTAATAATGTGTGTCGAGTGGAACTCACGGAAGTGCTTTCAGCTTTGGTGCTTGGCTTTGTCTTATAGACCTGGCATCTTGTCAAATATATAAATAGAATCTCACTGCTTTTCAGAGCCCAATAGCAGCATTAATCTAATCTTTTTGTGGTCTGTTGAGTACAGGAAAGAACAGTTGGTGCTTTTCTGTGTTACAGATATCAATCAACAGCATTTTGCCTTAAGAATGACAGATGCAGCATTTTGCATTATTTCCAGAGACTTGGCATGGAAAAACAGATGACTTCTGTAAATCGTTTGGAATCCCATGGGTGTTAACAAATAGGTACAGTTAAAGTTGTGAGGAAAAGAAAGAAAATTGAGAAAATAGTTCAACTGCCAATTGAGGCACTAAAAACTAAGGAGCTGTTGGTTCATCAACTTCTCTCTAGTGAGACAAACATAGTGAACAACAGCTTGTACTAAATGGAGAACTGCCTGACAAGGATGCTTTAGTTAAAGGTATGCAAAGGTCTTTGTTCCCTTCGAATCACATGCATTTTAAGCCAAGCTGCTCGCTTAAGAAAAGCGTCTGCACGAAATCTTGCAATGACTGTCTACTATGTTTTAAAACCTTTTAATTTGAGAATTATAATTTTGGATGGGAAATGGTGCCCTGTGGCAGGAGATATGCTACTTCAGTAACGAGACTTCAGCAGCTCACTCCTTGTGAGCTTGTTGCTGTGCCTGATGTAGATGGTGCTGCTATCTGGTTGCTTAGCAGCACCGGATGCATTACAGTTAGATCAGCTTTGAAAGTTCTTTGTCCTGCTCGAAATAATGTTCCCTGTCATAAACTGGTTTGGGATAAGGGGTCTATACCCAAGTTCTGTGCCCAAGTTCTCTTTTATCTTGTGGCTGCTATGTGCAAGGAGATTGTATACGAAAGACAAAATGAGAAGATTGGGATGTTTGAATGGCTCTTCTGACTGTGTTTTATGTAATGGTGCAGAGAAGTCTTTCGAACACCCATCTTTTGAGTGCAAAATATGCCTTATGCTCTGCTTTCAGGGGTTCACACCCTTGCTCTGTGGAATTTAGTTGCCTATGTTAGCATTGGAAGTCAAATACACTTGTGGATAAATTCCGTGGGCTAGATCTAGCTGTTACAGTCTACTACGTGTAGAGAGCTAGAAATGAAGCAATTTTTCAGAAGAGACGTTTTTCTGCAGTTGGCATCATCACAAACATGGTTGAAGCACTGACGCACACAGGAACCTCCAGGAGAGGTGTCTCCAGAACCAAAGAAATCTGTAAGCTGATCCTTGAATGTGGTATTTCCCACAAGTGCTGTTGATAGGCATTAGCCATCCTCTATATAGTGAGTTGTATTGATAGCGTTTTGCTTTCTGCAATGTACAGGTAGCTGTAGCTACTGTGTGTAAGCTTCTCATTTTCTTTATCAATTAAAAAATTCATTTTGCCCAATACACACACACATGCACACAATCCTTTTCTTTTTAATTGTTACTTAACATGACAATGTGTTCCCCCCTTCTTCCCTCAGGTATTAATCCTGCATAAATTCTCCTTTTCCATCTGATTTTATTGAAAATAAGAAAGCCTAGACTGCCTGCACCTCCCATTCACAATTTATTTCTTTCACACGACCTCAGCATTCCTAGATGTTTTATGTTCCGTTTCTTTATACAAAAATTTATAGATCAAGAGCTATGGCAATAGACAGTTTTACGAGATCACGTATGAGAAGTGGTAAATCATAAGCTAAAATAAAAATGAGAATGAGCAAAACTTATTCTATACTTTTGTTAGAAACTTTATTATTATTTTTTATGTGATGTTCATTGCAAGTCGATCATGACCCGAGTGCGAATTCAATGCTATTGGTGCACCAAGTGTCGTAATGATTTTTACATACCAATTACATTGAGATGTTGCCTTAAGTGGCAGCATGGCTCAAGGTCAAGGTCAATCTCGCGGTCCAGACCGTTTCACATCGATCTTGACATATTAATCGCGATCTCGATAAGACGTAAATTTTTAAAATATTTAATATTCTAAAAATTATTAAAAAAATGATAAAAAAATAATAAAAAATTAGTAAAAATAATAAAAATTCAAATTGACTCTAGATGACTCGGGCCGATTTGGCCGTTTCTATCCATTTCAGAGACATTTTAACCGAGTTTTTGACCATTCATTATTTCAGAATTATCTCGTTCTGGTATCCGATCGAAAAACCTCATTCCGATGATGACTCGACCGAGTCATCTCGATCTTTGATCAAGTCTTTGAACCATGATGGCAACTGAACTCGAACTTGACAATCCTCATAATATAAGGGCCAAATCGTTACTAATTAAGCAACAACACGCTCTCTTAATCAACCCCATAATAATAAAATAAGGGACAAGAACATATCATTTTTTTGTCAAATAGGATCACTTTTTTAGCTAATTATTTTTACTCTATAACTATTAACATTTTTTAACACTAACAAGTGTACGTACCTGTGAATAACCAGATGAATTTCAATCCAAATATAGATTGGTTTCATGATTCATCCATCCAATCCTGTATAAAAAGTTCTTTACACTGACTGAATAACAAAGATAAATCCAAACAGTAATGGCCCCTCTGTTCATTAAAATACTACCGGCGATCAATTCATCATCCATGATGCAATAATACACATTACCAACAGCCGCCAGCTATTAAAAAACTCTGCTCTCTGCTCCCACGTAGAATATAAGAAAGCACAGGCGCTAGCACTTTCCACCATTCACGGATTTCAATCTCCCATTTTCCAATTCCAAAGAGGCCAAAAACCCACCAAAATTAAGTTGAGAGAAGAAAAGGGTCGTTTTCTTTTGGGGTAGAGAATTCAGGAAAAATGGGTGAAGTAGAAGTGTGCAATAAGCAAGTTATACTGAAGAACTATGTGAGTGGCTTCCCAAAAGAGAGTGATATGGAGGTGAAAACTACTAGTTTGAAGTTAAAGCTTTCGGAGGGTGATTCTTCAGTAGCAATCTTAGTCAAAAATTTGTACTTGTCCTGTGATCCCTACATGAGATCCCGCATGAGCAAGCTTGAAGGACAGTACGTTGATTCCTTCACTCCTGGCTCTGTAAGTCACGTCCTATACATACGTATGTATGTATATATCAAATGGTCAAATAGTTATTAAATTGTTAAGAATTCCCTAGTTACTTAACTTTTTATTTAGTCAAAATGGTCACCAACTAATACATAAACACATTTTTGGTCATTCAATAAGTAAAAAAAACTCCCGTTTGGGTTGTTATTTTCTGGATTTTTTTTGTAGAAAAATATACTGTGAGTCTGTATCGATTTGATATACGTGAGATAAAAAAGTAATTGAAAAATGTGATCACAAAAAATATAAAAATTTTTCTTTGGAAAACTTCGATCCAGACAAGAACTTTTGCTCACTCAACTGATGAAAATTGAAACGTACATGTTTTAATAAGTTAACGGACCAATTTGACTAAATAAAATAAATAGTTCAGTCGTGAATAGTGCCATTTTCTCCATACAATCTTTATTTCTTTCCTTTTGCGTTTGCCTCACTAACCATAGTTGAAGTTGGTTGTTTTTGTTATACATTTGCAGTAGAAGAGCTATTCTTTTTATTGAATATGTTACTAACCATAGTTGGAAGTTGGTTGTAATTTGCTTTACTGGCTCACTAACTCATGTCCAATATTTAACAATTACCTGAATTGATTGTCTGCATGATAGGGAATGTTGAGAGTAATTAATGATTCAATTGAAAGGAAAAACTCTTGACCTTTTGTTAGTAAGCCAAGCTCAATACCTGATGACATTGGTTTTCATTGCAGCCTATAGTGGGATACGGAGTGGCTGAAGTTCTGGATTCTAGTCATCCAAACTTCAAGAAAGGTGATCTGGTTTGGGGAATCACTACATGGGAAGATTACAGCATTATTACTGCCACAGAGGTTCTCTTTAAAATCCAGCACACAGATGTGCCTCTGTCCTACTATACAGGCATCCTGGGTCAGTTTCTCAAAATTTCCCTATTCTTTTAATTTTATTTTTATGGTGAAAATGTGATTCCTTGATTGGTTAGTAAAGGAAAAAAATTAAAATTAAAGCAATGTTTTTCTTAAAATATGTTCAATTTAATATGTCTTACAGAAGACAACAGTCCTGCAATTTATTAGCTCAATGAGCCAGTAATCCAAGTGTTTTACGTCTGGATGATGTTCCACTAACTGATCATTTGTACAGATTGTTATGCATATTATGGTCCTTTTTATTACTTGTAAAGCAATAGTTTCCAACCCCCCGGGGGCTCTTAATTAGTATCTCCATGAAATGCCTAATTTGCCTTGAGTTGCTAACAGGTATGCCCGGCATGACTGCTTACGTTGGTTTTTTTGAGGTATGCTCTCCTAAGAAGGGAGAACGTGTCTTTGTTTCTGCCGCTTCTGGAGCAGTTGGCCAACTCGTTGGTCAATTTGCAAAGTTATTTGGCTGTTATGTCGTTGGAAGTGCTGGAAGCAAAGAAAAGGTCAGTGCTTTGAGAGGTCTACCCAAGTGAATTTCTCCTAATTATTGGTTGGGGGTGAGAAACTATTTGAGCTCAAAATACCCTTCTTTTCATATGACTGCAATCAAATGATATTCAAGATTGAAGTAATCTGCTAAAAAAAATGTAAGAAGCTAATGTAAGAATTTTTCATGTTCCTCCTGAGTGCGAGCAGATATAAGAAGCTAAAAGTTGGAAAGTCAAAGCAGGTGATGAGTTCCTTTAAGGCTTTAACCTTGGTGGTTTTGCATCTTTTTGAATGAATGCCTGAAAATTTTGGATGTTATGTCCGACCTGTTGAAAAATGAAAGCTGAATAAACGCATTTATGACCTGTAAGGCTGTAACTACATGTAATCCCAGAGTAGGTTCTTGAAAAAACCAAATTGGAAATGGGAACCATGTTTAAGACTTTCGTTAGCTTTACAGTTCACAAGAAGTTTTAGCCTCAAGACTTTTTACTGCTCCATATGTACCTACTGATCTGCTGAAGTCATTTGGCATGGTAGCTACTTCTTCAAGGAAAGGTATTATATGATGATTATGATATGTGCATCTAAAAGCCTAAAAGACCAATTAACACTCACTCGACTTGTCTTTGCTGCTATTGACGTATTTTTAAGGTTGATTTGCTGAAGAACAAGTTCGGGTTTGATGAAGCTTTCAACTATAAAGAAGAGGCGGACTTGAATGTGGCTCTGAAAAGGTCAGCTTCCATAGTGTGTGGATTATTGGGGACTTCAAGAAAAAGCCCTTAAAATTTGCTTTTCCTTTGGACCGTTACCAGTTGGAACTGCATAATTCTTGATGAAGACGACATTTTACTCGAATAAAGCATGTTCATCTTCCAAAATTGTCAGTTTTAGTTCTTGTTTCTTAGCATCATTCCAACTACCTGCAAAGACGCCCGATACTTCCATTTGCCTGAATACTTCCTAGTTTCTGCATCTAGAAAGATGTGGACTGCTTACTGCAATATTGATATTCCAGGTACTTTCCGGATGGCATTGATATTTACTTCGAGAATGTAGGAGGGAAGATGCTTGATGCCGTGCTTCTTAACATGAGCCTCAACGGCCGCATTGCCGCCTGTGGCATGATTTCACAATACAATCTTGAGCAGCCGGAAGGAGTTCAGAATCTGTTTTGCATAGTCAGAAAGGGAATACGAATGGAAGGGTTTCTGGTGTTTCATCACTATCATCTCTATCCTAAATTCCTGGAAATGATTATCCCACAGATAAAAGAGGGGAAGATCACTTATGTAGAAGACATAGCTGAAGGCCTCGAGAATGCCCCAAGTTCTTTGATAGGGCTGTTCTCAGGGCTCAACATTGGGAAGCAGGTAGTGTCCGTTACCCGTGGATGATGTATATATCATCTGGAATTGTACTTTTCTAGTCTTGTGCTATGGTTTTGTCTAGCATATATTGTTGGATATCAGGAGGCAATATATACTTGGTATCTCATCAGGCAATGCTGGGAAGCAAGTTGTGGATGTCTCCTGTGAATAATCAATCAGTGATGCATGTCATGTGAAAGTGCTTTTCAGCTTCGATGCTTGGTTTTGTCTTATCTACTGGATCTTCTTGTCAAATTATATACAGAATCTCAGACTGTTTTTCTGATCCCAGAAGCAGCACTTTTTGTAATCTTGTTTTGTTTTTTTGACTACAGAAAAGATCAATTGGTGCTGTTCTGTGTTACAGATACTGAACCAACAAGATTTTGCCATAATAATGAAGGAAGATGCAGCATTTTGCTTTAAACTCCACAACCTTGACATGTAAATACAGATGGCTTTCAATAAATTGTTCGGAATCTTTAGGGTGTTAACAGATCAGTAAAAAGTAAGAACAGTTAAAATTGCGAGAAAAGGATAAAGCAAAAGAAAATCTAGAAAATACTTCATCTGCTAAACGAGGCATTAACCCCTAAGAAGCACTTGGTTCATCAACTTTTCTCTAGCAACGACAAAATAATGACAAATATGCTCTGCCTACAATATGCTCAGAAGTGTTCTTTATTTAGCACATGAATAATATCCGTTGCTTGAGTGATATTTTCCATAAATCATTCAAATAGTTATCAAAATAATTAGAAAAGAATTGTCTGAACCAAATAGGGCCTTATCAGTGAATTGGTATGTGCAATTCACATTGGTCAGTACAGGAAGCAAGGAAGAATTAGACAGGCCAGCATGACCATTCTCTCATTTCCCATATTTCATCAGACCAGACAATGAATTCACAATCACCTTCACAGTTCACTCTCCCATACTGCAGGAATTCAAGGTAAAAGAGATCTTATTCTGACTACCAAAATTTTGGTTAGTCGAATTTCTTACTAATGACCCATTTGGAACTTAATCCAATCTGCAGGGGTTACAACATCACCGAAAACTACATTCCATTAGATTGCTGCTTAAAGAGAATGGTATAAAATGCATATCAAATGTATCCAGTACCCGGTAAAGTCACGACAAAATCAAAGATGATTAAAAACTCACAAGTAGGCCTGATGTGCAGCTCCAAATTTCTAAAAACTACTTTTTCAATCATATGAAAACAATGATGTCAATACATACGTCCTGTGATCATTCCATCTATAAAACGCCACGCCATGGTACTTACAAAATTGAAACGGAGATGCTGCAGAATGTCCAAATTTACACTGGATAAGAATATCCGCGAAGGTACCTCGAGTCCACTCCAGATTCACGCACAAGTGCAATACGACCAGTTCGGGCCACCTGATGAAAGGAAGTTCAGATACATACATGACATCCACCAAAAACTGCTCACGCTATCGCAAAATTGACCAATAAATAATTCCAGGAAACATATTGAATAGCCTATCACACTAACATGAGTAAACATCATCCAAACCTGATAAAAAAAAAAGATTTGTAATCCTACTCAGCATTTTATTTCCTATTATAGTGCTAATATCTAAATTTGCTACAAAATCAGTTGAACAAGACCATAGATGAGAAACAAACCTCACAAATGCCATAAGGCTCCAATAATCTTTGCAAAGCAACCATCTTGTCCAAATCTCCCGTAAGCTGGAAGAACACCCAAAAAAAAGTGTTGCACTTAAAAAGAGTGAAAAGAGGGAAGGAAAAGAGCCACAAACTGGTATAGAAACCCTAGCACTGCACCAAGTGTAGCAAAATGACCATCAAACAAAAGCACAAAAATTTCCAGAAAATCTTTTTCAAACCTACAGCACTTTTGGATCTCTTTTTACATTCAAAATCCACAAATTTGACCTAACTGACATTTATTCTTTGCTTGTATAGAAAGAGTATATCTCAACCTTCCTCGAGCAGTAGTGCCTATTACTTCCACATGACAGTTGCACACAATTCACTATTGAAGTGAAGAGTACAAGATGTAAAACTCATACACACGTCAAAATATTAAATGCTACTTAGGGATCATCATGTGTTTTGAACGGTAAACTGGGAATTAGTTCAAAAACAAAAATAAAATACAAAACTGGTTGTAACTGTAGAAAAAGTTGCTCATTTGAATTCTATATTGAACTTTTCTTACTGACACAATATACTAATTTCCAGCAATCCACTTGTGAAATTACTGTACTTTCCATTATGCAAAAAGTCATGTTTTTATATCGTTATTCCACAGAAACAAATTGCCAATGTCAGGATGGTAAAGCACTACCAAAACTGAGACTCAGCAGTTGTTCCATTGAATACCAAATTGCTCAGTTTATTGAATTAACAATATCCTATTCTGCCAACTAGACTAAATATTGATAAGGTTCTTTAAAAAGGTAGATGTACTGAAAAATTGTTGAAGCATATGCAAACTACAAAACACAAAGGATAAGAACCAGATGTCAACTTGACCACAAATTACAAAAAATTGAGAAATTATTCAATCTGAACCAACAACAGGAACAGAGACTTTGGCAGCCCCAAATATCTCTTCCCTTTAAATCACATGTATTCTAAATTCCTAATCAGATAAAGCGCTCTCTTTAAAAATCACAACTTATATCTTTCAGCCTACCAGCCACAATGAGGATAACAATAGTTCACATCATAAGAAACAAAACTAGTTAAAGAGCATGAAGGATTCCAGTTCATCAAACTCTGAAAACACTTTGGGTTTGTTTGGATAGCAAAATTTTCCAAATAGTATTTCACTTGTATCATAAACACATTTTCCAATCCACCTTTTTACATTCCCAACTACCTTTTTTTATCTCGCATACATCACATCACAAAAAGTGCTACAGTAACTATTCTAAATAATATTTCAAATAATACTCTAGTGGGTGGTCATGGTGGCAAGACTCTGACTCAAGTCTCCCCTTCGGCCTTCAAAAGGCTGAGAACTCCACCTTTAGATATAAGTGCATTACAAAAATGGATAAACTATAAAATTATTGTGGGATAGGACTTGGATAAAAGAAGCTGCTCAGTTAAGAAAAGAGTTTGCACGAAATGTTGCAGTGCATTGAAAAATGAACTACCAACACACAGGACAAGCAAAAAAAATACATTTAACCTTTATATAGCTAATATCCAGATTTAGCATCCATAATGCTTTTCGACAGGTAATATGCACATATTTTCAACAGATGAGAAAAAGTCAAATATGCCCCATACTAAACAAGACGGAAGCAAATATACAAGGGAGGCTACCAAGGGCGTTGGTGCCCTGAATGGAAAGTAAAAACTGAATTACTATAAGAACTCCAACCTCGAGAGTGATGGTATGATCAGACACATCAACAGCTTTGGCTCTAAAAATGCTGGCAATATCCAGAACATTGCGTCGAGCAGCAGCATTAACAGCAATCTTAATCAACATTAGTTCCCTCTCAGCAAATGGCATATGTGTGAGGTCCCGAACCTGCAATGAGGAATAACATGTTAAAATCTAATGACATTGCCCAAGAAATCCCTTTTACAGAGAACAAGAATGAAAAATGGAGGAAGAGGGAAATTCCAAACTGATTACTACACCAATGCAAGTGCAACACAATAAAAGACCAAAACATGAATATCCATAAGATGGCATCCCAGATTTCTGCAAAAATATTAAGAAACAAATGTCAAAGCAAAAAGGAAGATGAGTTCCACAGCCTCACGAACTTTCAGCTACTCCAGAAAGTTCAAGAAGCCTCTTGGCAGATCATTGCAATAATGAGCTTTGCTAACTACCCTCCATGCAATTAAGGCCTGACTTTGGACAAGCAAAATGCAGAAAAGAAAAATCAAGTCTGTACATCATGAAGACACATACTAGCAGTGCTAGAAGAATTATGAGTTAAACTTGGCAAATACTCTTAACCTTAAAAGTTGAAAATTTACTCTCAAGTTTAGGATCCTCTCACCTCATGAAGCTCTACCAACTTGCTAAGTTGCTGGACCAGCTTATTGATGGATGCATCTGTACCAGGAACAACAGTGGTAATGCGAGAAAGCCCCTCAACTTCAGCATGACCAACAGCTAGACTCTGACATGCAGGTCAGAAAAGGAAATCAGCTGCAGAGACATCCTTCAAAGAGAAAATAAAAAAAACACACATTGATCTGTTTATTAGCAGTTAATATACTTGAATATTGTAGCCTCTTCGAGCAAAAACACCAGTTACTATGTTGAGAACTCCAGGAGTGTCATTCACGAGCATTGACAAAGTGTGAGAGCGAAGACCACTAGTCTGAAAGCAGACCATCAAATTCAGGTAATATTTTGCAGAGATAGCTTGCGTACACAAACAATTCATCAACAACTCCGAGTATTCACACCAAGTTGCCACAGATCATGAAAGATTGATGGCATATATTACATATACGTGAAAGATAACAATCTTTGAGTTAATTGATACCATTACAAAACTTACTAGTGTTAAGGTAAACATCTTTTCAATTCAGCGAAATTACAAGATCATTCAGCATGTCACTTCGGGTAATAGCTAATCATCGAATCCATAAAACATTTCTTTTACTTTTTCCTATACTAATTCATGTTTAATGTACACTCAAAGATGAAAGCTTTCATGCTTGACACTTGACAGCTTCAGCCATGTAAAACAAGCTTGTAAATATTCAAACAGTGTCAATTAGAGAAATACTCCAAAGAACATGCTTTAATGAAGCCTGTAAAACAGTACAATAGGGAAGATGATTCTTACATCGTCATCAACCAGAACGCCCCAGTGAGCATCAAGAACTGGACTGATGTAGAAGTCATCATCTGCCTCCACAGGATACACATCTCCCTATTCACAAGCATCAATGTATCAGATTCCCAAGGTCACAATTAGAATACAAAACCAAAAACATGTAGGAAATAGTATATTACAGAATTGAGATATAAATAACATGTAGGGGACCGCAAGAATGTCCATTAAACTTTCCCAACAAGCACAGTGGTATTAGTCGCATATCCATTGATATAAAGATTATCTATATCTGGATGACCAAGGGGTTGGCAGGGTAGATGGGAATCTAGATATTAACCAAACGCAATTGTGTTATCTAGGAGGGGGCTCATGTAAACCATTTGATTCGCCACATGATAAATCTGTTGAAACATACAAGAAAGGAATAAAAATCAAAAATTAGTTCAGATTTATCCTCCTTGTGAAACAAGAAAAACCAAGATTGAGTCCACAGGGTTCAACACCCTGCTATTCTTCTCATCCAATGTCTTTCACAAGCACAGTATTACATAAACCTTTGCATTTGCATATGGAACAAGTTATTCTAGGAAATGTGCCGTAATAATTCCTGTGGAACATTTTCCAACTAATATAAGGTGGGTGGCATGCCAAATAAGGACTCTATGATCCAAAACAATAATTAAACTAGACAATCAACCCAAGGTCCAATAAATCTTGAAACAAATCAACACGTTACCAAGTATAACTGCCGCAAATTTTTGTATTCTATAACGTAAGATCTTTTAGGAAGTTTAAGCAGTAGTTCTGGCTATGTTTTGGTCATGTTATTTTTTGAGCATTAATCTGACACTGCAAATTATGCTTAAAATTGCCCAAAACTAAATCTTTTAACAACTAACAGAGAAATAGTTAAGTATGCAGAAGATATCAGTACAATACCATTTTTAATTAATTCTTCTAGACATGGCAACTTTTATCTAAGGTAAAGATTCACAGAAATAGGACACAATAATTGATCAGCTGAATACACTACCCCAGTTGATGTATCAGATTTTTCATCACGTATTCTCTTTGCTGCCCTTAATACAGCATCAGGAGACATTGTGCCTTCAAGATCTGGATATGAAGCTGCTGAAAACCTCCAAAAGGGAGCAGACTCGCCCATTTTTTCCCTTCTCAAGGCAATCTAAGATTAAGGCATCCAATAAAACAACAACTACATTAACACATGTTAGACAAAGATGCATACGGAAGAAAGTGAGAACATTTGGTTAAAATTTTGTATACCAAACCTTTCCAGTTCGTGCAATTTCTCTAATTCCAAATTTACTTAAATTCCTTTGCACAGCAACCAGCTTTCCGGGATCTCCAGTTACCTGTTTCCACAGTGCAAAGGGATAGTGAAAGGTGAACAAAATGAGCAATTTCTAATTCTAGTCTGTCAAGAATAGATGCAATAATTAACTTTACAGGAGTTTTTAGCAGCATGATATTCATCAAGTTCAGCAGGAAGGAAAGGATACGGGCATAAAGAAGTCAACATTAACGAATCTTCATGATGCCTATTTGTCACCAAAGCAACATGCATGAACACAATCAGTATGAAGACAAACAGAAATTTTGAGCCTTCTGTCATCTAACAGAGCCAAAATGGATGAAATTCTATTTTCTTTACGAGAAAAAAGAATGAGTCTGACAACCAAGCACAAGGAAACTCTACAAGTGGCTTGTCCATGTCCCCAAAAAAAGCAAGAGAAGAAAATGAATCAAAGAACACATTGGTAAGGTATAACACGCAATATAACATGAAGAAGTCAAAAGCAAGGGCCTAAAATTCAACTTTTGCTTTCCCTAGATAGAAGATGGTAAATTGCTCATGCTATAGAAAACTCGCTGCAGATAATGGAGTGGGGTATGCTCTCACAACTTCCACCATCACAAGGGGAAAGACCCAAGTTTATCATAGTATTACCATGTGCCAGATAACATCAATCTATTATGTAGTCATTGCAATTATAGAAGATTGAAGTTCAAATTGCAAACATGTAAATTAGTAATTGTAATCGAGGTATAACCAAATCAAAAGTGCTCTAGTACAACCTCAATAGTCAACGAATGATCTGATATATCCACAATTTTTGCTCTAAAAGTGTCCACCAACCACATGACCTGGAGATTACATAGCAAGATCAGAATCGTTAACCTGACAACAGATCTAAAGTGGAAATAAAACAGAGAACTGCAGGGCACTCATAAAAGTTGCAGGTCAAAGGATAGAAGTCTTTTGTCAGAACTACAATCACTCCTCTAGCATTAAGGAAAATTTAAGGTACAGCAATCAAAGGATATAGAATAAGAACCTCTGCTCGATAATCTGGATCTGAATTTATTTTTACAAGCATCAGTTCTCGTTCTACCTGCGGCTCCTTCGAGATGTCTTCGACCTGGTCATGGAAATCGTGCAAACAAAAGTCTACAATATGAATTTTAATGATGAAGTCACTCAAAAAGATGGAATCAGACAGCTGTTTGTCAAGAACAATGCTTCAGGTGAGGTGTTAAATGGCAGAATCTTCAGCAAACAACAGAACTATTTAGTCGGATACCCCAATACATAACCACAGACATAAAATTAAATAAAATATGACCACCTTTATCACGTTTACAAGCTTCTGGAGCTGTTCCATAACTTGTTGCAGCACTGTATCAGTTCCACACACAGCTATAGTGAAAAGGGCCTTATCCTTGTTCAGACCAACTGCAAGTGACTCAATGTTATACCCCCTCCTTGCAAACACTCCTGCAATCCGATTTATCATCCCGCTTTCATCACCAACAAACACCGAAATAGTGTGGCGCCTCACTCTGAAGTCATAGCAACATAAAATTCCCATAACAATAATATCCATAAGAACTTTAACATCAATGACCCTACCATTTGATGAACCTTAAAAAGAAAAAAGTAGTCTTTTTCTCTTATTTATACGTAAAGGAATCAACTTCTGGCAGCATTCATAAAAAAAAAAAAAAAAAAAATTCAGAAACAAGGGCCAATAAGTAGAACTTAACCTAACCCTCTTCCTTACCACTACCATTTAACTTTGCAATTCTTGTCCTATTCTCCAATTAAAATCACATGAACTATATCCATTGGCCTTTAAAAGGTTTTATGTTTTTGGGACAAAATTCACTAACATCATACACTAACAAAACCTGAAGAAAACAAATCGTCTTTCATCAAAGTAAAGTACCAAGAATATAAGAATCATCACATCATCAGAACAAAAACTTATATCAGGAAAATCCCAATTAACAATAATACACAATTCCCAGGAATTTTTAGAAAAAAGCGAAATACACAAAAATCCCATAAAGATTAAGACTTTTAGCCAATGTATCATCTATAAACAAAAATGCCACTTAAACAACAATAAAATGACAAAGGAATAAATTTACAGAAATAACAGAACAACGAAAAATGCTAACTTGGGTCTGGTAGCGGAGGGAGGTGAATCAGAGACAGAAAAACTGTTACTGTCAATGCTGCTGCTGGTGCTATTTGCACAGACAAGTAGTCTTGGGGGATGTTGTTGTGTTGAAAAAGGTGGAGTTTTCTTGAGAAGAAGCTTTTGGGGAGAAGAAGAAAGATTTGAGAAGCAGCCCACATGAAGAATTCTACAGCTATTGCTACTACTAGCATTACTGGAGGAGTCTATAGTTGCAACGGATGGTTGTTTCAACGAATTGATTGTTTGGAAGGAGGATGGAGCTGAAACGGCAGCCATTTTTACACACAGTATTCTCTCTGAAGTTCTGAAGGATACAGGGCAGGACGGTCATCAGAAAGGAGCAGAAGGACCGTCCCTCAACAGTCTCCTCACAAGCCTCAACAAGTGGTTGAAAAAGAGCCACCCAGCCAAGGACCACAAAAAAAGCAAAAGTCTTGTCGTTCCAATTAGTAAAATATAAAAAAAAAAATATTTTGACTTGTCTTATCTTAACGAACAGTATTAAATTAAATCAAACTTTCAAAAGTTCGAATTTTGAAATGAAATTTTGAATTTGATAGTTAGTTTTAAGTTAAAATTGGAAAAGTCATTATTCAACATAATGTTGAAGAAAATAATTTTATTTTTTTAACTGAGAATTGAAAATTCAATATTATATTTACCTTCAAGGAAACTAATTTCTCTCTCTAGCTGGGGATGAGAAAATTAGTGAGAGATAACCTTCTCTCTCTTTGTTGAAGCTGGAGGAGTAACGTGTTGTGAGGGATGTGTACTTGATGGATAAGAGTTATTCAAACTGAAGAAGCAAGCTATAGTAGTGTTTCATCATTACAGAAGAGATTTGTTGACGATTAAGGGTAAAGAAGACAGATGCAATAGGTATTGACGCCTCGCAATTTCGATCATGAAGCAAATATTGGGTAGTAAAATAGAACTGAGTACATGCACCACTATCCCGGATAGCAAAGTAAGGTTGAAAAACAATGGTAGAGATAGATGAAGGTAATTCTACTAACCCTTATCGTTAATTTTGGTTTTTCATAGATCGATTATTAACTCTTAAAATAACCAAGTTATTAAATTGATAAAGGAGTTTAAGCTTCACACAACTGGGGAATAATGTTAAGTATAATTAGGAAAACTATGTTATAAAGTTAGAGTTATGTATTATACAATTCTTGTATTTGTATGACTATGCAGAAAGTGAGTTAAAAGTTACAATCTATTGATATGATCGTACATGTATAAATTTTGCTACTTGTAATTGCTTTTAAAGTATGGCATAATTTTTGATAACTTATAGAATTTTGTCTAGATAAGGTGTGTGATGTGCACCTTGTTTATCAGAATGTATGGTATATTATTCATCAATAACATTATATCAAAAGTTTTTACTAGATGGTTATTTGTTCCAATCACCTATTAAATTGACCATTAGTGCTTATGAGAATGCATTAAATATTTAGTAGATAGGTAGTTTACTTCAATAATAGCATGTATATATATAAATACTTAGTGAATATACAATCTGATTGAAATAATGTACATTGTATTACTGACCAAGTACGATGCATAGAAATTATTGAACATGCAGTTATTTGTCCACATGCATCTTACAATTAGTCATCGCAACCACATGCATAGTGCAGTGATATGCATACATTTGAAATGATTATTAGTGTTTTGATCCACTTGTGCATCTCCTTGCAGGCTGCAGTAGTTGTGTAATTTTATTTGTATGACTAATACTCATTTGCCTATAAGCACCTTATACGAGGTGATCTATGAGGTACAATCATTTTGCTAAAATGTACATTATGTTATATGTTAGTTACTTGACTGTGTATATCTATGAAAGGTAGTGCAATGGTACGCATAAATTTGGAATGGTTATTGACCCTTTAATTTGATCAACTTGGGCATCTCCCTATAATGGATATGTAATTTTACTTGTATGAGTAATACTTGTTTGTCTATGAGTATCTTACACGGGGTGATCTATGAGATACAATCAGTTTATAAAACTGTACAATCAGTTGATATTAGCATTTTTCTGTAGAGTGTACACGTTGTTAGTAGGTACGAAGTAGTGTTATATCTTATGTATGCTTATATGGTCATAAATTTACAAAATTTAGTCTATTGTTTGAATTTGTAATTGATTGTTAGCCCATACACACTATCACATACATACACATAATGTAAGAATGAATTTACTACACAGTTGTTTATTGGTTCATAAAATTCATATAGGCATATAAATTGAGATTTGATTAACTATACCCTGTATGTAATTGTTAACACATTATATCTTATTGACCTTATTTTGCAGTATGTCATGGGTAAAGATAGTTTCTTTTGACAAATCAATGAATATCAATTAATATTGGTGGAGTAAAAAAATTAGATTGGACAATTAGATAGTTCATTACGCTAGACTTGTAATACTAGTTAGAATGTACTTATATTTAGTTCTTAATGCATTATCACATATTCAATCCATTTTACAATGTATTAGAGCAAAAAAAAATTAAATTATTAATTTTAGATTATGTTTATCAGTGTTATATATTTAGTTAGTATTTAAGTATTATTTATTGTTAATTTTTTATGGTTAGCTTAATTTATTTTACAATATATTCAAAACAATAACTTTATTCTATCAATTAGCAAAAAAAATATTTACTTTTTATTGCTAATTAGTAACATGCCGATGTTGTACCCCATGTTGGTATTTATTGACTTCCCATTGCTAATGCCTTACTAACTATTTAGTCCATTTTATAATATGTTTAAAGAAATAAAGATTTTTGTTTCACAAATTAGTGAAAACTAGTTACATTTGATTACTTGTAAGTTACATACATATTGATTGAACAAAAATTTAACTAGTCATTTACCACTATTATGAAAGTAGTGGATTTAGGTAAGATTTTAGTTGTTAATATATGACAATCTCAAAAAGTAGTAATTACTCATGCATATTGCAATTAGTCATCGCAGCCACATGCATAGTGCAATGGTACGCATACACTTGGAATGATTATTAGTGCTTTGACCCATTTATGCATCTTCTTGCAGGCTGCAGTAGGTGTGTAATTTTGTTTGTATGACTAATACTAATTTACCTATAAGCAACTTACATGAGGTAATTCATGAGTTACAATCAGTTTACAAAAATGTACATCATGTCAGATATTAGTTACTTGTCTGTGTATATCTATGAAAGGTAGTGCAATGGTAAGCAAAACTTTGAAATGATTATTGGCCATTTGATCAACTTGTGCATTTCTCTATAATTGATGCACAATTTTACTTGTATGAGGAGTACTAATTTATTTGTGAGCACTTTACACGGAGTGATCTATGAGTTACAATCAGTTTATAAAAATGTACATCATGTTAGGTGTTAGTTACTTGACTATGTATATTTGTAAAATGAAAATTAGATATAGTGCAATAAAAAATAGTTACGTGAGTTAGAATGTATTCTAGAAACTTTAGCGTAGTTGATATTAGCTTTTTTCTATGGAATGTACATGTTTCCATTTTTATCAACAAATTTGTAACACCCAATTATATTGTTACTCGTTTCCATTTTGGTCAAACCCCTAACTAAAAATCTTAGAAACGTGGTTAGGATGTCAATTTTGGCATCTTTCTATCATTTAATTGCTCTTTGAACAAATATCCTTAAGTTTATTAAGTATGATGCATATAAAAATAAACCAAATGTATAGTCCAGTCATAACAATATGTACAACAATTCTAATAGATATATACAATGCTTCAAACAAATTTACAAATTGAACAAAAATCTATGATGATTACAATGATATCTACAAGGATTCTTACCTATCATTACTTAACATTTTCTATAAATCGAAATTAAAAATTTACAAATATTGTGGTAACAAAAATCTATAAAAAGAAAGTAAAAGAGTTATACAATGCTATTAATTGAGTTTCATTTGCTCCATTCTTCTTTTTAAGTTGATTTCTTTTTTTCTTTCTAATTATAAATGGTGGGATTGGTTCTGCAAACTCAGGAGTTCCCACTTTTCATATTTCTTTCTTTTCACATGAATTTTTCTTTGTCCTTTTCCGTGTCATCTTGCCACAGCTCATGCAAATTGTAAAGGTTATTTACTTTGTTCAACACATATCAGTTTGGCTAAGATTTCATATACTCTTATCTATGCAAATTAAAACAAAGTGAAACCAATTCAACAACTCTTAATTGCAATCAATCAAATAGTCACGTCTCACTATCCTGCCAACATACTGGTGCAACATGAAAGTATTGACAAACTTACATATTCAAGAATTCTGATGGTGCTTCAGGTTTGCTACTACCTAATTTTTCACTTTTTTCTTCTCTAGATGCTTTCTTAGTCAAACTTCTCAATCTCCTTTATGCCATCTGCACCAACTTTTTGATGAACAATGACATTTCAATTACATAAGATTTTCTCCAAACATTCCTAAATCAAGATAAAGTAGTTTTAAGAATGATATAGCAGATGCAATTATGAGTAAGACATTTTGAACAACAAGTACATTCAACCTAACATATAGACATTAGAACCAAGACTCATGTCAATCAATTCTCATACTGTAGGCTTCAATTACTGGATTGCTACAGTTAGTCGGGGTTTCAACTTATGAACAAGAGTAAACAATTACAAATGTTTATTAATGTCTGCATTAATCAACTTACAAAAATGTACATGATCTATGAGGTATAATCAATGAGGTGTTATTTACTTGACTGTGCAAATCTATAAAGGTTGATTGGAAATAGCACAGCAAAAAGTAGCTATATGAGTTGGAATGTATTCTAGAACTTTGGTATAGTTAATATTTGCATTTTTCTGTGGAGGTATAGCTATGTGGTGATTTTCATGTTGATAAGATTTTCTCCTGACATTCCTCAATCAAGATAAAGTGATGATATGGTAGATTCAATTACGCGCAAGACATTTTGAACAACAAGTACATTCAACCTAACATATAGGCATTAGAACCAAGATTCATGCCAATCAACTTTCATACTGTGGGCTTCAATTACTGATTTGCTACAATTAATTGGGGTTTCAATTTATAAACAAGAGTAAACTTATGTCTGCATTTCTTTCCTCACAAGGGTTCCATTATCAATTTCTAGGACTTCATTTAATACAATTATACTAGTTGATTGTGCATTTACAACCGTGTCAAAGTATTTTTCCACTATTACTATTCTATTACAGAATGTAATAGTTATCTAACAAGATGTATGCATACTAATTAACATAACTGGTAACCATTTTTCCACACTAAGAAAGGCAATCTGAACAAGATGTCTTACCTTCACTTTTTTTCTTCTTTTCCTTGACT